TATATATATATATATATATATAACCATATTTAATATTTTTTTAAAGAGTTGGAGATAAATTTTGGTTTTTCAGCAACAGAAATGAAAATGGCATGTTTGTGTTATCCTATCACTAGATTATCGTGTGAACCAGATGAAGATAGATCGAAAGGATTTAGTAACCAACCGTAAGCGTGTACAAGGAATCAAATAGCGTTTCGGCATTACTTTGATGTTTGTTAAGGAATGTCCCAAACTATCTGCATTTTATCTCGTATCTGCTAGCTGTGGAAGCGATGGGTCATTCAAACAAAGTTTAAGCATTGTTTTTGCAAGAATGTGAGCAAAATGGAATATCTCTTGAATTATAATAGAAATAAAAAAATGCCATTTATATTATGATGTAAACGATTACAGTAGATCGTTTATTTTCTTTTCTTACATTAAAAGTCGCATTCCTGTGCAAGTAAAATGGCACTCCTGTGCAGTGTCGACACTCACGTACACGAAATGAAGTTGATCCAGACTGTGTTATCCAGTGATCTACATCTGGATATCACAGTAACACTTGAAACAAGGTAAAAAGACATGGGCCAAACACATAAAAATATATTATTTGCCCAGAGACAGTAGGTTATAGCATAAATCGTTCAAAGACAAATAGAACAAAAAATATTGATTTTATTTATTTAACGCCAAACTTACGATGTTGCTTTGGGGGAGGGGTGCTACATTTACTGAACAGAAGCAAAGCAAGGGATCTTTTATACTATTTATTCGGGGTAATATTAAAATGGCCGTTCTAACATTACTCTCGAAACATCTTTTAATGGGAGGGAAATTTTCCTACAGTGAAAATGGCAAAAAGAAGTGTATCTTGCACAGAACAGGTAGTAGGCTCCCTTGGACTTTGCCAAGGGAAAGGGCCTCCGTCAAAGAATGGATCCCCGAGCCAAGGAGGCGCCTGGGAACTCAAGAACTCTGGGAACCACGGGAACCAAGGCCTCCAGGATCGTGGAGCCCGTAGGTCTCGGGAAGCCCAAGAATCTGGAGTGTCCTGAGCAGCCGAGAGCGACGGAACTCCTGTGAGCCTCGCTCCGAGCGCCGCGGGGGCGAGCCGGTGGGCGGGGCCCGAATGTGCCGGGGCCCT